AGGCAGACAAGCCTGAAGGCTAGTCTAAGACATTAGCATTCAGCCTTGCCCATAAACTGAGAAACCCTAGTGAGAGCACTGTATGTCTATCTCCAGTCTGGAAGCTTTTATCTCATCACATTGAGATTTAGCCATTATGCTAAGCACCAAGATATATTATCTCATTTAATCTTCATAGCAACTCTGTGAGATAATTTTATATATGAGATAACTTGGATTTTAGGAGGCACAGGGAAATGTTCTGAGATCTATTTGGCAAGTAGTTAGAGCTTGAAATTTGAGCCCAATTCTATAGGATTCCAAAATCTGTGGTTTTTCTATAGTCCTACATTCCCATTTTTAAAAAGAGGACAAAACCAGAAGTGGATTATAACTTACTTTCAGTAAAATTTCCCACACTATCTTCTTTACAGCCCAACCTAAATTCTTATAGTCTAGACTTCTACTTGGAACTTGTGCTAAGATGCTTAACTGCCTACCAACCTCTACCCCAATGGGGTCAGTCTCCCCTATGGCAGTGTAACCCCAAGCTGTCTCTACCTTGGGAAGAGATTATATAAGCTGCTTCTTGCTGGCCCCATCCCTGGAGTACTAGGGGCCTCCAWCAGAACAAAACAAAGCTTGTTTTAGGGTTATTGTTTGTTATTTTTATGGAGATGAATAGAACTAGAAAAATAATGCATTTATCAAAGAAGAATTCTGCCTAATGGTCAGCATGAGCTGAGTCCAGACAAGTCACCTGGATGACTGTCAGACTCATAATGATAATTATCAATATTTTGGCAAAGATCCCACCAGGACCCAGGCTATTCAGCTATCCTTTGATGCCATCTCCTAGTCATGCTCCCCCACTCACCTGCTCAGAGTCTCCCGAGGAGCCTTAGTGCCTCCGGCTCCATGGGTGATGCTGGAATTCTTGTTGGCAGTCATGGTCATTTCGGCTCTCTGCAAACCCAGAGCCCTGCAAAAAAGACAAGTCCTGTAAGCCAAGTTTCCACGGCAGCCAGAAGCACCTCAAACCTCTTCCAGATGACCTCCAAAAGGGTTTCTGTGGCAGGAGGTAGAAACCACTTTGCCACATATGTTTAACTCCACGGATGTTACAGCTTAAAAGCCTCAAGAAATACCCCGAGGGGGTTGGAAAGAATCTGTGAGCTAACAGATAACCTATTACCTCACAGAAAATGATTTGAGAAAAAAACCTTCCATCTCCTCTAATTCCCACCTCTCCTCATTACTTAAGTTAGGTTTCCCAATTTTTTATCATTCCATACATCACTTATGATTTCTGCCATATCTGTACACCTCCTGACGTACTATTTTTTCAATATTTTTTGTGTGAATAAGCTTGAAACTGGCTTTCTTTTCTTAAAATATTTTAACCTTGTTCTAAACAATAAACCATTCATTCAACAAATATTTCTTGAGCAACTATGTCAAAGGCAAATGCAATCCAGCAAAGAATAAAACAAAGCCCCTATCCTCCTGGATGTTACATCCTAGTGGAGAGAATCAGATAATGAGTATGTGTCCTGTGTGTGATGATTAAGTGTGTGTTTGTGTATATATGTTAGTTGATAAGTGGTATTTAAAAAATGAAGCAAGGGAGAGGCAAAGAGAATAAAGAGGATGTGGTATTTTAAATAGGATGTTTGGAGAAGACCATTTGGATGAAGTGACATTTAAGCAGACATAAAACAGTAAGCTAGAAGGGCTAATCATATTTTTTCTAATTCTTGTTAAATGAAATTGATATGCATTAAGATATTAATATTTACAAAATAAAAAATGTTTATTCACATACCATATAGTCAGCTAATCCATCACCAATGGTAAAAGCTCCATTCTGCAGAGAACACTATTTTATGACAAACAATGAACAGGAAAAAAAGATAAAAATTTAATAATATATTCAGATTGGAGAAGGAGTAAAATTATCTCCATTTACAGATGGCATGATTTTGTAGGTAGAAAATCCTAAAAGTTCCATGAAAAAAAAAACAATAAAACTTTAAACTAGTAAGTGCTATAGTTTGTATCTTAAATGTCCCTCAAAGGTCCATGTGTTCTAAGTCTGGTCCCCAGACTGGCACTACTGGGAGGTGGTAAAACCTTTAGGAGGTKACCTAGTGAAAGAAAGATAAATGGGAAGTGGATAAACCTATGAAGTGGATATTTGAACTCCAGGCCCTTCCTGTCTTTCTCTTTGCTTCCCAGACACCATGAGGTGAACAGGCCTTCTCCACTTCATATTCCCAGCATGATGTTCTGTGCTGCCACAGACCCAAAACAACAGGGCCAAGCAACCCTGGACTGAAACCTCTGAAATGGTGAGTCAAAGTAAACCTTTCCTCCTTATAAGTTGTTTACCTCAGGCATTTTGCCATAGTAATGCAAAGCTGACCAACACAATAAGTTCAAAATAGCTTGTAGGATAAAAAAAAAAAAGTATTAAAAGATCAATGTTATTTATATATGCTAGCAACAATTTGAAAATGAAATTAAGAAAATAATTCAAAAAAGAAAAAGAAAAGAATTCCATTAACAACAAGCAAAAAGAATAAAACCCTTAGGAAAAAAAATAATACAAGACTTAAGTACTATGTAAGCTATAAAATATCATTGAAAGAAAGTAAAGACATAGAAAAACAGAAAGATATCATGGATCAGAAAACTTAATATTGTTGAGATGGCAATACTCCCCAGACTTATCTGTGGGTTCAACAGAAGATCCATCAAAATCCCAGCTGACTTCTTTAAAGAAATTGACCACATGATTCTAAAATTTCATGGAAACGCAAGGGACCCAGAGCAGCCAAAACAAAAGAATAAAAACACCTGAAAAAGAATAAAGGTGGGCTGGGCGCAGCTTGCATCTAATCCCAGCAGCTCAGGAGGCTGAGATAGGAGGATTACGAGTTCAAAGACAGCCTCAGCAAAAGCGAGGCACTAAGCAATTCAGTAAAACCCTGTCTCTAAATAAAACAGAAAACAGGGCTGGGGATGTCGCTCAGTGGTCAAGTGCCCCTGAGGTCAATCCCCCAATACAATAAATAAATAAATAAATAAATAAATAAATAAATAAATAAATAAATAAATAAATAAATAAAGGTAGGATGCTCGGACTTGCCAATTTCACAATATATTACAAAGCTACAGTGATTATCAAGACAGTATGATACTGACACAGGAATAGAGATTGAGAATGCATGAAAAAACAGGTTTATGGTCAACTGATATGCAATGAAGATTCCAAGACAATTAAGTGAAGAAAGAAGAGTCTTTGCAATAAATGGTGCTGGGAAAATTGGGTATCTACTTACAAAAAAATAAAATAGTACCCCTGCATCATACCATATATAATTATTAAGTAAAAATGAACCATAAACCTAAACATAGAAGCAAAAAGTACAAAAACAAAGCTTATAAGAATTCATACAAACTAATGTAACTCCACATCATGTACAACACAAAAATGGGAAGTTATACTCCAYATATACATGTTATGTCAAAATACCTTCTACTGTCATGTATAACTAAAAAGAATAAAAAATTTTAAATCGATGTCACAATTAATAAATGGTTTCTATTAAGACCAACTTAAAATAAAAAGAAAACATACAAGAAAATCTCATAGCTGGGCATGGTGCCATTCTTAGAAGTGGCCTAGGAATTCAGGTATCCTGGAAAGGCATGCTGGTCTCCCAAGCCATAATGCTCCGCCCAGTACTCTAACAGCAGCTCTAGGCTCTCATCTATGCCTTCATCTTGGTTCCTTGGCTAGTCAGGCTAAGGAGAGAAGATTCTCTGAAGCAGAGGAAATGCCCACTGGGAATACAGTAGAGAGGCAAGGGGGATATGAGACTGTTTCACAAATCTAAAGCTCCATCAATGGCAAAGTCCAGACAGAAACTKCATATTTGGAAAATGAAATTGTCCAATTAGCATCTACAACCAATCACCAGTCCCTCAAAAACTCAGCTCTGAAAAATTACAGACAACCATCTGAATAACTAAAATCCAGAGAAAGGAACACAGTAAGTGTTTCCCAGGTACTTGAGGTGCAGTGGAAATAATACCTGTCAGAGTCAAATAACTGCATCTAGCCATGMCTCTGTCAACTGCTAGCTATGTGACCCTGCACAAGTATGGCCTGAAGACTCACTTTTTCACTTTAACTGTAATAACATGACCTACTTCTCTTGACTGCTATGTTGGGCACACAGAAACTTAAYAAATGGTTTTTCTTCCAGATCACGCTTCTCTGGGTATTTGGGAGACAACCACTCCATTCCCAAGCCTGAGTCATTTTTTATACTTCCTGATATTGCAATTCAATTTACCCTATGCCAGGAACTGGGCAAGGCGCTAGAACATTCTCTGCCTTACAGGATCTAACTGTGAAGGGAGAAAACTCAAGTAAAAAGTAGACATCAAGATCTGGGGTTGTGTATCAGAATAGAGCACTCATCTACCATGCATGAGGCACTGATTTGATCCTCAGCACCACATAAAAATAAAGATATTGTGTCCACCTATAACTAAAAAATAAATTTTAAAAAAAGTAGACATTAAGAAGATCTCATGGAGAGCTAGGACTGTAGCTCAATGGCAGAGCACTTGCCTAGAATGCATTCGATCCTTAGCAACACATAAAAATAAACAAATMAAATGAAGGCATTCTGTTCATCTACAACTACAAATTTTTTTTTAAAAGAAGGTCTCATGGGGAAGTCAATTAAGCTATAATTTGTTTTTCACAAATTATGGCTTAATTTTTTCTATTTGTTTTTCACAATAAGAAAATCTAAAGAAAAGCTAAGGTACATTTATTATGAGATATGCTGCTAGATTCCTTTTATAATTATAATAGTTAATATTATAAGCCTTCACAAGTATTGAAACATCTAATCCTTTTGACAGCCCTGTGTAGTAGGAACTATTACTACTTATACTTTACTAAGGAAATGAACATACAGAGCAAGGACCTAGCTTGCCCAAGTCATACAGCTAGAAAGTGGAAAGGCAGGGAGGGCTCTGAGCTCAATCCAACCCTACCATCCCATCTACAGATGCGCTCCCAAAGGTCCAGGAAGGGATGTATTGGAATTCAGTTTCTGAATAAAGCTGTTTCTCAAGGTTGCCCACCATCTAAGAATAAACCTTCCTATCCTAGAGCAAAAGAACTGTTAACTCTTGTTTAGGAAAAGTCCATTTGGTGCCTTTCAGCAAGCATAATTGTGGATGTGACAACATGCCTTGAGGAACCCCCTAAGAGTGAAGAGGAAGGGACACAAGCATGTGGAGGGAAGCTTTCCATTCTCCTGGGGTTAAAGTTGCTACTGAAAGCAAACAAATACCGCTAAGCACTCTTATTTACTAGTCCAGGTGAGAAGTTAGAGACTTGAAAAGGAGGCCTCTAAACTACATGAGAGAATTTCTGCTGACATCTATGTGACTTTAACTTCCCAAGCAATCTGCTCACATAGAAGTTATAGCTTAAGAAGCAACTGGAAGGGCTGGGGAAAAAAGTGGCAAGGGGGACTAATCTTTTGTGTGTGCTCTGAGAACACACATACAGCCAAGGCAATGCAACCAGCACCTTAACAGTACAGTCTACCACATAGCGTGCAGCTGCGTCTGACTACTCTTGAGGGTTAACCTGTGCTCATCCTGTCCAGTAAACACCTACTCAGACTTTCTTACCAACTCCTTCCTGTACCTTTCTCATCCACAGGTCCTGGCCAAGAAGATAAGGGAACAACCAGCAGCTACCCAAAGAGGGGCTTGCTTTTTCATTTCTTCCTCCAGGAGTCTAAGCAACCAATATAAGTGCTCATATCCTAAGAGGCCTAACAAAGGCAGCTAATGAGGATGACCCTTTTCTTCATGACTCTCCATCCTCACGCTCAGCACTCGGCTATCTTCTGGATCCTCACATCAGACCCTATTCTTCCTGAT